CTCAGGAGAAGAGGTTGGGTAAAAGTTTGGCGATTGGAAAGCCGAAAGCGATGCGAGGAACTTAGGCATCGTTAATGTCGGCCGAACGTGCAGAGTGCGAAAATCGGTTTATACCAGGGCCTCAGATTCGTTTGGGGGTACACTGAGGCCTCAAGGCAGTTTTTAGGAAATCAGAATTTGCCCTGAATTGGCAAGGCTGCACAGGGTGAGGTATCCTGAAATGCCAGTGCTACATTTAGTAGTATCCATATATTTTTTGTGCTACAACTAGCGGAAGTGTGTAGCGGGTTAAGTGACAATGCGATACGTTAAAGGTCTCCTGCTCGATTCCTGCTGGCTCCTATGTGGAGGTGCTCGCCCGTTCATGTATTAGGCCCCAAGACCCAGGAGATTTTTCTTACAGTACATCTCGCCTCGGAGCGAGATTCGACACTATCCTGACTCATCAGAGCTGAACCTACAGCCTTATCCTGAGTTTTCAGTTAACCGTTATACTGAAATTGCAGGACAATTATTCCTGTTATGCTGTTTTTCCAGGACTAGCACACGACACCTATCCTGAATTCAGGAGAATCAGGATAAATTATCCTGATAACTGAGGCCCTGGTTTATACGCATAGCAGTGAAGCCTGAGGACGCGGTAAAAGTGGGAGGATCGCAGGATCGCGATTGTTTTTTTAGCCCCATAATTGATTGGGCGGATCGATTGGCGAAACGAGGGGCTCGCCTGGTCGTAACGATCGCCCGAGCGTGATGGTTGGCTCTTCGACACTTGATATTTTGGTTTTGCCGGCGACACAGTTGAAGAAAACCCAGACCGCCCTACAACACCTGCGGCATTTCGCAGCCTACAGGGCAACCAAAAGCGACATTCGCAGCCCACAGGATCACATTGCGGGAATGATGCGCGACTCCATTCATCCGCTTTGCGAAATTAGAGCACTTCGCTGGCATCAATATCAATCGTGCCTGTTGTGATTGATTCGTGAACATCATATGTACAGTGAGGCCTCGGAAAATTGAACACCGATCAGTGATGATCAGTCTCATTCAATACATGTGTACAATATGTCGACAAAATCCACACTGTAGTAGAGTTACAAGTCTGTAAACAGTGTAACTGATCCGCACACAGGTCGCAGTTCAAGACCGATCGTTAACTTTTACCGGGTCCTAATAAATGCTGGTGAGTGGTGTTGACAGAGCGAACACAATCAAGCCCCTCACAACCGCGTTCCAGACATACAACCTGAAGACGCGTCACCTGAACGCCGTTTATGCGATCGATCGTCAAAAATCGATCTTCCACCGCATTTAAACTACGCGCATCGTAGTAAAAAACTTCCAGATGCAAATTAAACCACGCAAAACTTCGAACCTACGTAGGATCGATCCTGCGATCGGCGTTGAGGTGACGCGTCCTGAACCTACGTCCCCGCGTTATGCGGTCGCTAACCCAATCAATTGTCAAATTTTCCCTCGTGTCAGCCTGACACAAGCGCAGAAACTATTCCTCTGCAGTGGAGCTCTCGTCGGCGATGTGGTAACACGGCGAGGTACTGCGTCCCCCGCAAACAACGGCACCATCAGATAATCAAAACCGACTCGTTCCCTCATTCTCTCTCTTCGCGTCCCTCCCTCCGCGCCTATCAAAAACGTCACTCCATTTTAGTCCCTCCCTTATAAAAAAACTCCTTCATACTCACAGCCCAAACGAGCACGCTAGATCCGCTGGCATTAGCCGCATTCGCCGCTTCGATTTGCGCGTTCCTTGCTCGCTCTCGCTCTGCCGCTCTCTCTTCGCGATCCCGCAATTCACGCTCGCAATTTGATCCGTCTATATCCTTCGCCATCTCAAAGCTTTCCTCGAGAGAGAGATTCTCTGTTTCTTCCACATCGGACCACACACGCGTCGCTGCAGCGTGTTTCTCGCCACATCGTTTCTTGCTTCTCGTCACTAGTTTAGCGCCGTCCATTTTCGTTACTCGTTCAACGTCGCCCTCCCGTCGCTCGTCCCCGTCGCCCCGCCTCCCCGCACTCATCGCCATCATGGAGCAGGGCGCCCGTTCCGCCCTCCGCCGCCTCGCCGCGCTGCTAGTCGCCGCCGGCCTCGCCGCGCTGGCCGTGCTCGTCGCGCCGACCACCGCCAGCAATGCGTACTTCCCTCCCTACCCCTTCGCGCCCAGCAACACGGGCATTTATGTCTTCAGCCCGGGCGAGCCTGAAAAGGAGAACGAAGGTAAAGTCGTCAGATACGACCGATCTCTGTGCGCCAGCGTGCCGCAAGCCGGGAATCGCTTCGCCAAGAGCGCCGTGGTGAAGGTGCGGTGGGACACGATCGGGTTCAAAGAGTACTCGTGCAAGCGACTCACCTTCCACCGCACCCCACGATGCGGGGGGCCGCCCTACTTGGCGCTCATGCGCCCCGACAAGCCCGGCGGGCAGATGAGCAGCAGCGAGCGGCGCGCCATGCTCACACGCAGGTGAGCCCGTCCGCCCGCCCTGCTCTGTTTTGCTCTGGTCTGCTGTCGTGTGCTCTGGTGTGCTTTGCTGTGTTGTGCTACTGTCCGCTCTGCTCTGCTACACGGTCCTGCTCTGCTCTCTCGCTGTTCACCTGCGTCCGCCCATGCCATGCCCCGGTCGTGCTGCTCGCAGGGCTTTCATTCCCTCCCAAGTGCCCAGGTCGGTCAAATGCGAGCTCAAATGTGAGTCCCTGCTGATGTCTTGTGAGTCCTGTGTGTCACCGAGGCAACTCTACAACCTGCCAAGAATTCTCACTCAATCCTAGAATCACTCTCCTCCAACCACAACAAAACAATCAAGAAGAATCCACTGCACTGCACTTGTCCCTGCCACAGCGCTCGTGTTTTCATGTCCTTGCACACCCTGCCACGGCTCTGGTTCATGCCACCCTGGAACATGCCACCCTGGCACATGACACCCTGGCTCATGCCACCCTGGCACATGACACCCTGGCTCATGCCACCCTGGCACATGACACCCTGGCTCATGCCACCCTGGCACATGACACCGTGGCTCATGCCACTCTGGTTCATGCCACCCTGGCACATGCCACCGTGGCTCATGCCACCCTGGCACATGCCACCCTGGCACATGCCACCGTGGCTCATGCCACCCTGGCACATGCCACCGTGGCTCATGCCACCGTGGCTCATGCCACCGTGGCTCATGCCACCCTGGCACATGCCACCGTGGCTCATGCCACCGTGGCTCATGCTACCGTGGCTCATGCCACCGTGGCTCATGCCACCGTGGCTCATGCCACCCTGGCACATGCCACCGTGGCTCATGCCACCGTGGCTCATGCCACCGTGGCTCATGCCACCGTGGCTCATGCCACCCTGGCACATGCCACCGTGGCTCATGCCACCGTGGCTCATGCCACCGTGGCTCATGCCACCGTGGCTCATGCCACCGTGGCTCATGCCACCGTGGCTCATGCCACCGTGGCTCATGCACCGTGGCTCATGCCACCGTGGCTCATGCCACCGTGGCTCATGCCACCGTGGCTCATGCCACCGTGGCTCATGCCACCGTGGCTCATGCCACCGTGGCTCATGCCACCGTGGCTCATGCCACCGTGGCTCATGCCACCGTGGCTCATGCCACCGTGGCTCATGCCACCGTGGCTCATGCCACCGTGGCTCATGCCACCGTGGCTCATGCCACCGTGGCTCATGCCACCGTGGCTCATGCCACCGTGGCTCATGCCACCGTGGCTCATGCCACCCTGGCACATGCCACCGTGGCTCATGCCACCGTGGCTCATGCACAATGGCTCCACTTGCTCTCTTCCATCCAACAGCACTCTCCATCCTCGTTTATCAATCCAGACTATAGTTTTTCCGACCTCTCCTTCCTCCCTTATGTGCATTCCCATCCCGTTCATCTAATCCTGCCTTTAAGCAGGAGTGCAAGCGAAGGGGCTGATGGGATAGGCGGGCCAGCAGCAGCCATCCTAGATCCCAGCTTGTTTAGGTCCGAGTTAAGAGTCATTTAGAACAACAGGCACAGGCTTATTACAAGCCTGCAAAGCCTTTATGCTATCACAAGCGCTGGACGGATCAGTCTGGGTTTAATTTTAGCATCCTTTGTTTCTTTCTTTCATATTTTTTTGCATGTGTTGTGCTTGCCTGTACTACGGTATTTAGTTTCATTGTATGAGTTAATTTGTGGATGAGATGAACTTGTACCAGAATCTGGTGGATAAAGAATCTCTTGGTTCCTGTGGGTCTCTTCTGGAAGGAGATATTACCGTACCTACATGTTTAAAGCAAATTCCGAGCAAAACTGAAACATCATATTCCACTCCAAATCCGGCCTATCGTACTCGTTGCTATGGGGCCCTCAGGATCGCAACTACCTGGGATAAAAACAGCAGTTAGGTGGTATGAAAAGAATGCTGCACTATGAGAAAACCCAGAGTATGATAGAACAAGAGCATCTGTAGATGCCAAAAGGAGCCACTCTACAACAATGTCAATGTATGCCGATGCTGCCATGTCGCGCGTAGCTTGATCTGGAGAGGGTGGCGATGTGCGTTCAGCATGAGTAGATGACGGACGTGTGGTGGATTTGAGAGTGTTGGCATGTACCGGGAGAATGTCTGACGCCACCACCTGTGACACAAGAGGGGAAGAGTGGGAGCCGATGGGGAATATGCATTTTCTGTTGCTTGAACCATGGGACGTTGCAACACAAGACGTACGAAAGCACAACCTGTAACAGAAGACAGTTAAGATGATGACAATGACGAGGATGCATTGTGAGGGTGAGTGGTCAGCGGTGTGGACTTGAGCGTGTTCCTTTGAAAAGGGGGAGTGGGGAGGGAGAGGAGGGAGGTGGGATGTGTGCATGTGTGTGTGCGGTGCAGGCAGTTGGGGTGAATGTATGCACATGGGTGTGTGTGTGTGTGTGTGTGTGTGTGTGTGTGTGTGTGTGTGAGGAAAGAGAAATGGCAAGGGAGGGGAGGCACATGCCTTGTCGGGGTATTTAAGCTTCAGGTCTTCCTTGAGTTGCCGTGAGTTGCTGATGACAAGCCACCTCACGGTGGTTGGAGGGGGCATCCACCAAAACTCCAGCTTCTGAAGGGCAAAAGAGGCAGTGGAAAACAAAGAGAGGGAAAACAGGAAGCTGGGGTGGGGACGAGGCAGGTCACCATGACGCACTTGCGATGAAGAATGTTTTCTTTCATCATTGCCTGACTAGGTTGACTCAAACCAACACGTTAACAGGCACATCACCCGTGCTAGCTGCCCCTCGCGTTGCGTCCTGAGCTTTAAAGGAGAGCAGCGAAATACCCTTCTTCATGCATTTTCCCATCTGAAATTCTGTTGGCTCAACGGGTACCCACACAACTTAGAAAAACATCATGGTTGTAGCTGAATCCAAATGATTAAGTTGCTTTTTCCAAGGTCTAGCCTTGAATTCCCTCTTAATACTCCCCCCATACAGTAAAAATCCAAACTCTCATCACCACACCCACCTCGGCGCATGCCATGTAGCTGTCTGCCCACGCCATCAGCACGCCCCTCTCCCCGTCGCTCAGAGCCTTGGGCTCCCCAAAGCCCTCCTTGCCCTGCCACACAAACGTGTCGTTTGCCCGCAGGTGAATGCCCACCACCGCCACCCCGTGGCCCGAGAAGCCATCAGAGGCACCCGAGTGGCCAGCGGTTGCAGAATGAGGTTGGCGGAGCAGGGAAGAGGGGGGGGAGGGAGCGAGAGAGGAGAGGAGGCGGTGGTACGTGGCTTCGGCTTTTGCTATCACGTCTGGCTGTGGCCTGGTGGGTGGGGGTGTGTGGGTTGGGGAAGGGCAGAGAAGGGAGTTGGAACAGGGAGGGGCGTGTGGAGGATCGAGCGGAACACGCTGGAAAGGCAGAAGCGCTTGGCTTGGATTCGACCATTGATGTGACATCTCCTTGCGGCCTCAGGGAACTTTTCAGGGATGGAAGTGAAGCCAACAAGGGGCATGAGCGTTGGACGTAGGGGCATGAGCGTTGAAAGTAGGGGCATGAGTGGAGTTGTCATTGATTCCCTCGCAAAGGTATGAAGTGGCCCTGGATCAGCAACCCTTGAAGGAGTAGGAACGAGGAAGACTTGAGATGGAACTCTGACTTGGAACGCCTTACGCCCAACAAATGAGAGACATCAAGCAGGAATATGGCCCTGCACCCCTTGACGGCTCACAGTGAGCCAATACAATCACATGACACATAAGTGCTCCTGGTGTTAATGTCAATGGGGACATGGCGCATACATATGCGAGCAGGTGGAGTGATAGAAGAGTGTTGATGGGATGATAGCATGCACGAGGCGATGGCAATGGAGACGTACTTGAGGAGAAAGCGGAGGATGCAGCCAAATGCGTATGGAGGGCGCATGGCCATGCCCTTGAGACTCGCACTCCACTTCTTTCCCACCGCCTGCAGAGAAAGTCAGTGATGAAATGAGCACATGAGCAGCTAAGCACACACAGAAGAGACGGCCGTGTTGGCTATTTCTAGCATGTGCCCGTTAGAGAGAGGTCACATGAAGTGTGCCCGTAGGGAATGCAGTGAGGTGTGACATTGAGAGAGGTCACTCTACACTGCAGATGCACACCCGCAGTGTAGAGTGACTCTGTCCGAATGGAGAGGCAGGAGCAAGAGAGGATGTGGGAAGCTTCTAGCATTAGTAGAGTGAAGTACCATGCCAATGTCCTTCCCCATGACCATGCCCCATGCCCATCACTAAGCCCATGCCCATACCTGTGCCCATGCCCCATGCCACATGCCCATGCCTCATGTCCCGTGCCCATCCTCATGCCCATCCCCATGCCAGTGCCCATGCCCCTAGCCCATGTGCGTGCCCTGGCCATGCAAATGCCTATACCATGCGCATGGTCCTCCACCTTTCACAACCTAGTACCACCATACGTAGCAAGAGGTGGAGGGGGACACAAGACGGACAGGTCACAGGACAAACGTTTCTGCTCAGGAGGAATCCAAGCTGCACCTCGACTTCTCCTTGTCAGCCAGACAGGAAAAGAGGAATCACAGAACAAGCGTCAAAAGCAGTAGAAAAAATAGCGGGTCTTACACTAGTTCGTTACTTTTTTTCCTTTCCAACAGCAGCTACACCCACCTGCACGAGCCAGTAGGTGAGCAGGCCTCTGTTCCACGACAGCCGCACGTTCAAGGCCGTGTCCAGCAGCACGAAGAACTCCTCTGGCTCCACAAACTGGTTCCGCAGATCCACCACCACCACCTCCCCCTCCTGCACAATCCCCTCTCTTCGCCTCTCCTCCTCTCCACCACTCCCCCCCTCTCCCCCGGGCCCATCCCCTCCACCTCCTCTTCCCACCCCTTCATACCCTACCAGCACTCCCCTTTTCACTACGATCCGCCGAGCCGGCTCGATCGGAATGTCAGGTGAGAACGACCAGTCGATGAGGTTCGGCGCGAACGCAAGCGGCAGGAGCGGGTGGCGGAGAATGAAGGCTCGGCGTGTGAGCAGCGCGCAGGCGAATGCGGTGGCGAGGCCAGTGAGGGAGTCGGCTAGACCGCCTGGCTCGTCCAGCCATTCGTATGTGAGGAAGCGGATGGATGGGTCCAGGGGGGGCTGGGGGTATGTCACTGGGGGTGGGGGGGATGGCGGAGGAGGGGGTGGAGGAGGGGGGGATGGCGGAGGGGGAGATGGAGGAGGGGGGGATGGAGGCAGGGGGGATGGAGGTGGGGGGGATGGGGGAGAAGGAGGTACGGGGGGAGGAGGGGAGAATGGGGGTTGTGGTGGTGATGGTGGGGGTGGTGGTTTTGGGGGAGGTGGTGATGGCGGTGATGGTGGTGGTGGTGACGGTGGTAGCGGTGGTGGTGGTGACGGTGGTGGGGGTCTTGGTGGCGGTGGTGCTGGCGGCGGTGGTGGCGACGGTGGTAATGCTGCTGCAGCAGCAGCGGCGGCAGCATTAGCAGCAGCAGCAGCCGTCTGTGCAAGGGTGGTGGCGTGGGAGCGGGCAGCGTGGCGAATGCGGGCGTGCAGGGCGGAGTAGTCGCGCGCCCAGGAGCCACAGAGAGCGTCTGAGAAGGTGAAATCCAGAAAGGAGGCGACGGGGGAAGCAGACGCACGCAGTGAGGAGAGGAGCTGGCGCCAGGGAAGGGGAAGGGCAGAGGTGAACACGGGAGGATGGACAACAGGGGATGGAGATAAGGTAGGACGGAAGGGAGGATGCGGTTTTTATGGATGAGTTAATGAGTTATTGGAGAGTCGAAGTGAGTGGGTGGGTGAGGGTTATTGGTAAAAGGGAGTGAGGAGGATGAGTGAGGATATGTTGGTGAGAGTGGAGGAGAGTGAGGTGAGTAAAGTTATGCAGCGGTATGTTGGAAAAAACGCTCAGGCTTCGACGTATCACGTTCGTTTGTACGGTAGAGTATATACGAAAGGAAAAACGCGATACCTTCCATATTACGTGATACCTTTCGGTTGGGCAGCCCGGAAAACAAAAAAACAAACAAAATTTGTTGGCCGCCGTTCCCGCGATCTGCGATTCTGCGATACCTAATTTTGAGATCCGAAATTCGAATGCCTCCCCTCCCCTCCTTTCTTTTCCTCCCCCACCTCCCACACCGCACATCACCCCACACCACCTTCCAAACCCAACCCTTCCCTTCCACCACCAGAGTTCCCAGCTTTCACTTCGGCGTGAGTGAAACAGCAAGGCGAGTCCTTCCTAATCTCATTTGCCTCACGAATTCTACTCTACGTCTCATCATAACTCACCTCACAGTTTAGCTCCAAACAGCTATGTCGACCACTAATGTCGCACCTGCTATTGCTAGCAGCCATAGCAGGATCTTCTTTGCAACCGCAATTTCAGGACGATTCAGGGGTCCTGATCGCCGAAACTCCAAGAAAGTTTATCCGCATCTGCAAATGTTGCTGCATTTTAAATCCGATTCTACCCTCACAGGAATGCTTTTTCTTTGCCCGAAGTTAATTTTACCCTCCCGACACTCCGTATTTCGGGTTTTTTTCTACGTTGGGAATTAGCGTATCGCCTCACAAATTTGTTTCCCTCCCCCGTACTATGTACTTATAGGTTCTGCTATATTGTAGGTATGGAGCTATATAGAGTAGCTTATAGTTCGTTCGCGCACCGTACGCGATTCGCGTATTTTCAACATCTATCGTTTTGGAAAGCTCAGCTCTCAGAATTTTACAGGTTGTGAAACAGAACTCACGGAAAAGGCGAGAGCGGCGAGCAGGAGGGCGTTGGCGACCGCATCATTCTGTCTGCGGCGTCGCCTCGCCATTTGAAACATCTCAGCAGTCACACGATGCTGCCGTCCGTGCGCCCGTGCGCTGCTTTGTACAGCTACCCGTACGGTGCATGATTGCAACCCGGGCGTTCGCTGCCGCACGTCCACAGTTCCCACCTCCGCGTCTTTAGAACCGAGCAAGTAGTAGTAGGCTCCTCGCGACTCCTGAACTGACGATTCACGACTGTTGGTTACCCCGAGGTAACCTCCGTCGGAGGGAAGTTTGGCCCCAAGCCACTTTTTCTAGAGTCTGACAAAGTTCGCCATCGGCGCCAACATGAAAGCTCGCCAGCTTACGATGCCCCAACAATTGTCGTCAAGCTGTCGGGACGGGTCATAGAACTTCAGGTTCGCGATTTCGGCGGATTGAGGAGCTACACGAGTGATGTAACGCGCTCCGCAGTGCCGGGATGTCGGCAGTGGGTTTGGTACTGACCGACGAAACAATGTCCTGTCCTAAGACTCCTTGAAACTCGATGGCTAAATGAGAATTTCCTAGGGAGTTCCCAACTTGTATGCTTCTCGTTCTCTTTACGGTCTAGCTCCGTTCTGTCATAGTGCACTACACCGTATGGAACCGTCCTCAGCCACGACCCACGAGTTGTAAACAAACGAGTTGGACCCCCCCTGGAGCTCACCTCCCACCAGTCAAACCTTCACCTAATTCGAGTGTGGCAAAATCGAGACGGCAGGCCCATGGCGCCCTGTTGCGCGCAGGGTGTTCTGCACATGTAACTGCGCTAGAAAGCGAGGATTGCTGAAAGGATCTACAGAATCCTTACTGAGGCACTCGTTAGCGAGGCCATCCCGAGGGTGATGTAAGGAATTTTCTCGATATTCCTTAGCGCGCCCTACAACATCGCGTACAGCAGCAGCCGTTGTTCGCCCGTTACTGCTAACGGGGCTTCGCCGACTTCGCGCGCACTGTTTCACCAAACCTCGCACTGCTGGCCTGGCCGTGTCGGCCTACGCTTCGGGACTAGCCCGAGCCTCGCTTCCAGCATAGCACTAGCTAGCTCGCACGCACCGCGTTACCGTTTGCATGTTTCGCGTATAAATGTTCGCTCATGCCTTCGCTCACATTTTGTACTCGTTTGACACCTTAGTGCAATTCTCGCTACTTCGATTCATTGCACCCGTAACACTTGGTTATCAGAGCCTCTTTCTTTTCGGACCGCGCATCTCCGCACCCCAGGAAATCAACTTTTGATTTTTCACTCGAAGGGACTCACGCACCTTAGCACCTAGGAGCCGCTGTCCTCGCGTTCTCTCGTAAACGCGTGCAGCCACGACTGTGCCTAGACTAAGACGAGCCGACGCCCTTCGGAATGGCAGAGCATCTTGACGTCACTAACCTCACGCAGGACCGCCTAGACGAGCTGCTGCGACAACTGCACGAAAACTCCGAAGAAATCGCAGCATTAACGACGGAACGTACCTCCCTGCAAAATGACCTCGCACGAGCACAATCCCAAGCACCTGGCACTCCGATTCAGCCCGCACAACAGACATCGCAACACGGAAGTGTGGGGCAACCCGCGAGCGCCGCAAGTGATGGCGTCGTCCGCCATGACGGAGACGACGACCATGGCACGACACACCCCGACGCGACGAATGCGGCCAGGAATCAGCCTCGAGTCACTATTTCGGTGCCGGCCGGCGAATCAGCTCTACCGTCGCCGATGCCGCTGAAGCCGCAGCGTCCGCCATGCTTTGACCCAAGTCAGCGGGGTGGTCCTACCGTTCAGGCGTGGCTTTTCACGTTGAATGCTTTCTTCGACGCGAACTACGTCTCGAAGGCTACGGCGAAGATTCGTTACGCCGTGTCGTTGCTGCGAGGACCCGCCATGGACTGGTGGCGTGTCATCGTCACGAAGCCGGTGGACTACGCGACTCTACCGACACGGGAAGGACAAACCGGACCCTGGGCGCCGTCGTATTTCGTGGAGGTGCCCCAGTATCGCACGTGGGACGCGTGGTGCGCAGGTCTGCGCGCTCGTTTCGAGCCTATTGCGGCTTCGATCGCGGCGCGACAGAGGCTCCGCACTTGGCGCCAACTCGGTTCCGTCCAAGACTACACGAGCGGGTTTCTGGCGCTATGCCAGCAGGTGGGATACATGCATGAGAGCGAA